TCTGCAATGTAACTAAAGCTATCAAATATATATTTAGTCCTGTAAAATGTATATTTATTTTTTAAGTATAAAGTGAAAAAAAAAATGGAAAATTGTTTTTGTTGACTTGAAATATGAGTATAGTAATACAGTAGAGACTTACAGGACCTCAACTCTATAATAACCTATTTACAATTACAACATAGTGCCAAAAAGGGATTATATGAAGCAGAAATATTTTTCATATGATGGCTGGTTTTCCAAAATCAGTCCCTGAATCTAGTCCCAACATGTCTGATTTAAATGTACACTTGGCAGAGGTTCTGCTAGGCATATCTGATCAGCTCAAGATGTAAGTGTGCCCATTGCTTACATGAATATTTACTTATGATAACAGAAGAACTGAAAGACTGCACAACCTATTTACGCCCTGTCTCATACAAGAAAATATAACACATGCTTCCACTGTCTAGACTGCATTACTCATCCTCAGTGTGGAGTGTAGAGTTTTACATTACAGCCTACACCCCAGACTCAAACAGCATGAAGCTTTGGGTTGGGATCACAACGAGGCTCAGATGTCCTCTGTAGAGATGGAGATGAAGAGAGCCCTTCCCTGAGTCTGACCCTGGTCCAGCACTCAGTCATGATCACAGACATACTAAGACTCACTCAAGTACTCAAACCCCCCCTCCCCCAAAAAAATAAACCTTTTCCTATCTCCCTTCAGCTGACACTGCCTCCTCCCCTCCATGGGCAAGTGCCAGTCAGTGGATACTAGCAATGTCTCCTATGGTTGACCTTATAAGGATCTCCGGAAACTGCTGATTACAGGTTTAGATGACTAATCCTTCCCTTTACCTCCATTGCTTCAGTTCCCCTCCCACTTTTACCACCAGCATCCTGTCTTTATCAGCTCATATTTCGCACAGGGGAAAGGCCTGCGCACTCACTACACAACGGCCTTGAATCCTTAAGATAACACATTTGATTCTGTGCCTCATCTTGAGAGCATCGACCGTACCATGTGGAGAATCTGCTATGTTAATGGCAGGATGGAGACTATATGTTGCACTCACTTTTTTCCTTAAAAATGTTCCACACAGTGTGCATGTAAGATCTGATTAAGTAAAGGGGTCAAACAGATATCCCCATGTCCCCCATACTATTCAGTTTTGCAATCAACGACTTCCTCTACACAACGGAGGATATGGGTATGAGATTTGAAACAAGCGATGCGGTTAACATCCCAAGGTTTTGCCAATGATCTGGTCCTGCTCAGTGATTCCTAGGATGACTGGCCTCAGGGTCAATCCCACAAAGTGCCACAGGTTTATGAATGGGATTGATGGCCAAAGGAAAAACAAGATCAATCACTGCAAAAGATGGACATTGGCAGGAACCCCAATACACCTGATTAGTCCCAGTGAATCAGAGCACTACCTGGGAGTCCAGATTAATCCCTGGAAAGAGATAACAAAGCCCCCCCCATAAGGGACATGGTCCAAGACATGACCCTAAAGGTCCCAAAAGCATAACTTGTTTTTTTCTGATCTGAAAAATGACCCGATCTGTGACTGTGATCTGTTGCACTCCTACTTTTATGGCTAATAAAAGCTAACCTGTATCTGCTCGACAGTGAGTCACCACATCATCTTCAGAGATAAAATTATGCCCTGGCGCGTATCCTCTCCAGGGAGAGAGTTTCTGCCGGCAAACATGGTGTTGCAGACTCACAGTAAACAGAGAGAAATACTCCTGAAGTTGTCAGACCCAGACGAGCTGCACTTTAAAACTGAGAAATTAAGAGGTCAGCCACTATTTTTAGGACTACAAACGTCACCCGGCCACACAGTCATTCCTTTCTTCTTCTTCTTTAATCTTCTTTTCTGGAAGTTCTTACATTGGTGTTTCACGTATTATTTTGCTTTTTAATTTGTTGTCACCTGCCAGGAACCCTTGTTGTGCATAATACATTTAAAAATACAAATTATACTAACAAATGAATTATTGAAATATAGACTTTCCTTTTTGTCCTTTGTGATTCACATTAAAATGTAATAAGCATTTGTCTTCCAAACTAAATGCAAAAAAATGCCACGTAATTAACATCATAGTCTCTCATCCCTCCACACGATGCCACTTGTGGAGAGCAGAGCAGCTAATTAGAATGATTAGAGGGTTAGCTGTTTCCTTCGGCTGAATTTTTTAATGAAATTTGGTATTCTAATGGGGCAGGGGTAGCAAATTTAATCAATCCCTTGGAATTAGCCTTTTACACAATTTTCAGTCAGGAGAGCCGAATTGATATCTTGCTGTTAATTTAGTTCATGTCTCTAACAATGAGGGCATAGAGTCTGTTTCTTCTTTATTCTTGAAGGTGTGCATTTGAAGGTATACCTGCAGAATCTGAAGTTGAAGCACATTAACTCAAGTACTGTGTTAACTTGAGGTACTTGCACTATGTGAGTTCTTCCATTTTATGCTTTGTACTTTTTAACTCCACTATATTTATTTGACAGCTGAAGATTTTACATATAAAACACATGAGCTTATAAAATATGATCCATTTTACAGATTATACTGAGGCATATCCAAAAGAGTTCAGTTTAGCTCCACCTCAGTCAGCTGCATCAAAATGCTTATACAGTAATGCATCAGTAATAAAAATCAAATAATATAATATGTAATAACCTGAGTACTCTTATTTTTGATACTTTTACATTTATCATTCTTTCTACTTTTCTAACCTTCAACCTCTTCCACCACTGATTACATACCTGCTGGGTGGGCTATTTGGCTAAAGTATTATGGAAATCATAAGAGCAAACAAGCCAACGCAAAAGCAAAACAACTTCAGTGGTAGAGTTACATAATAGAAAACAAAAACAAGAAAACCGGCAAAGTCACATCCTACAGTGGTACAGCTGAAACACTCCTCAGGCAGTTCAAACAAGTCTGTCATCCCCCCCCCCCCCCCAACATGTCTTTTGAAGCAGATGATAAACATAAAATGTTTTATCTTGGCTGTTTCTTCAGACAGAAATCTGTTGGCACAATATTCTACTTAAGGACTTTCAACTATGAACTGTCCAGCAGACTGTTCTCATAAGCAGGGATGTAATTACAAAGTGTGGTCTGTTTGAAGACATAGTTAGCCCCAACCCCCCAAACCCTGTGTGTTTCACCTCAGGCAGGGTTGCTTAAACAAGTCTGAGCCCCTTCCCAGTCCGTGGTGGAGACAGACGCATGTGGGTGTCCTTTTTTGATCTTGGATGATTTATGTTGCACCGGCTTTCTCATGAACAGTCCTCAGTACAGCAACATAAAACCAACCACGATTGAGGATAGTAAAATAAAACCGACCAACATTTGAATTTCATGAAATGTTTGAGATCTGAATAGCAGATAATGTGAATTTCACTCTTATGTGTTTATGCTTCTGCGCAGTAACTTAAATATAAAACCACACACACTGAAAATGGCTGTTGAGCTCACAGTGTGACTTCCTCTCTCTGTATATAAGGATGATATTGAACATAGTAGCCACTATTTTAAGGCACAAAATGCCCTTCTGTTCAGGTGTAAATACTTGAATTCCATTAGAGTGAAGGCTGGACTTAGATACTTTATTCACAGTTCAGATACACTGAAGGAGCTGTACAAAGCAGGAGTCATACAATGTTACTCATATCAGCATTGTTGAAGTACTTCATAATATACAAAAATACTTCAGCTGCCTCTGACTGAATAGCTTGTAAAGCAAGAGACAGTGCTTTCAAGGACACACATCTGGGCAACAGGTCTTTCAAGATTGTCTTCTCTTGAAATCATACAACCATAGAAATGGAGGAGTGACGCTTTGATGCAGTCGTGTTGTTACATGTCTAAATCTCTGTCCTGTTATTGTCTTTGAGTGCTGTAGGCAGCCGGATGGGCCTCAGGAGTCTCCCCACCTGGAATTCATAACCCCTAATATTCCATCCTGGCAAGCATTTTGAGGCATTTTTCTTTATAGTAAACAATGTGGTATTTGTTGTCTGTGAACTTCTGTGTCTCTGTTCAATAGCAGAGTTACATTTATCTACTGTTGGTTTGTGGCTTTCTTTGTTAGAAAACAACACATTACTGTATAATAAAACAGTACATGCAATACTATCCTCACTCACCTGCGGGGGGCTTTCTTTTATCACCATTGTGTGTTGCAATGTAGTTTTCAGTAAGCCTGATACATATAGAATTATAGGGATACCATCTGTCTAGCTATCATGCGGAGAAAATAGGCAGAAGCATAATTAAAATTAACTTATCAAGATAATATTCAAATCAATTGGTTTTGAAAAAAGATACAGTTACTCTTGATGCTTGTCTAATGACTTAAAAGTAAAATGAAAATTTTTAAATTGATCCTGTAGCCCAAACCACTCTCCTCACTCTTACCCCATTTCTCAGCTCATTCTGCACCCAGCCTGTTTACTGGGGTAAGAGGGTGAGCAAATAGAGTTCAAATACAAATTTGGTTCATTTTTGTTTGATTACATATAATAAATCAGATTAACTAGGACACAGTTTACTCAAATATACTGTTACTGAATGCATTTCCAAAAGTAGCCCAAAACATTTTGCATGATGATGCTAAGAATAAGTAAGTAAGTAAATAAGCTATAACTTTGCAATAATGCTTTAAATATCGCAGTGTTAATGGCTCATAGTGCCTCAGTAGTGGTTCTACATAGAGTGATTATTATGAATATAAATGTTGTTTTACAATTAATAAATAAACATAAACATTTTTTACTAATAATTTATTTTAAGATGCTACTAAAGACAGTAAATTTATAACCGATCTAAATAACATGAGTCCTCATTATGAGGAATCACAAAGCAAAGGAAAATTCTCGTGAACACATTTAATAAATAAGTAAACAGGTACACACTGGGTAAAAAAAAAAACAGTCAATAGAAAAAACACACAGTATTGTGATGAACCTGGAAAGGAAAGAATATCTGAATAGTGCAGGTAAGATTGAAAAAAGCATGTTCTTTATTATGTGGACCTTGTGTGAAAATATATTCTTCAGAGATGCAGTCAGAGGATGGGTAGCACTCTACAGCAGAAGCCTGCAATGAATTTGTCACGTGGCATTTACAAATAGACACACCCCCTTAATCAACCTTGTTTCATATGTCTCACAGGCTTATATAACATGATTCCAATCAGAGCTCAGGCACACTTTGCCCTCAGAGATCCCTTCCTTCCTGACATGTTTTACCATAACAGAGACAGAGGACACAATGCAACCACGCACCTTTTTGAGTGTCTATTAAATTGTTGTTTTTCACTTCAGTTTTTGTACACATAAACAAATGACATTAACATATATATTAATTAGTGAGCTGTAGAAGTGCTGGTAGGTGGATTTTGATGAGCCCTGAACCAGGCTAGCTGTTTTCCCCTAAGCTAATCTAACTGGCTAACCTCTGTAGATAAACAAAAAAAAAGAAACCCAATAAAACTTTGAGGTGATTATATACTGTACATGAAAATACATGAAACACAGATACATGACATGAACATGAAAATATACCAATGAATATTATATTATTTTTCTACCAACAGAGTGTCCTAAATGTTACACATGGACCTTTCAGAATGGAATCATATAATTGCATAATGTTTTTGTTTATTGATTAAGAATTACTGATAAGGCCACCTTTATACACTATAAGATTTTATTGTGAGTGTGTCTGGAGTTCTCTATGGTTAGGATAACATGGAATATAGACAGCTTAAGAAATAAGAAAGACTCATGTTGCATACGAATTATAAAAAATGGTGCAGAAACTCTTCTATTAAATACAACTACAAATCAGAACAAATGCATCACATCAAAGTCCTCAAATGGTAAGTCCAAAAGTTACTCTTCCTTGTGGTCCATGGGAAAGGAATGTCAAAGTATTCCCATCAGGAGAACAGCAGGACCTTCTGCAGCGTTCTCCTGAGTGGTACACTCTCCTCAGGCTTGCTGTCTGGGATCATATCAGCACTCCTCTCTGCACTCAGGTGGATGCTGGGTCTCCTCTCTTTGACAGCCTGGAGCCCCGCCTGAGTGATGTTCCTGCAGAAGTCCACCTTTACCTCCTCCAGACTGTCTCCATGAGCTGCCACGCCCTCCAGGCTGCGGTCGGTGATGCGGACGCAGTTCTCCAGCTGGAGGCAGCGCAGCTTCCTGCAGCTCTGCAGCATGGAGATTACGTCCTGGTCAGTGATGTGTCCACAGCCAGACAGGGTTAGAGAGAGCAGGTTGGGACACCTGTGGCGAAAGACAGCTGTCAGTAACATCACTAACCTGTGACACACATGTGGTGGAGTACAACCAGCACAAACACCTATTATGTGTTATCCTTACTCATCCCGCCTTAGAACATATTGTATGGTATGGAGGGATTAGTTTGTTTGGAGAAGGACTAGCCTTAAATAAGCAATGCTGTTTGACGTGTGTGTGCTTATTTTGAGATGACTACTCTTAGAACAGCAGAGCACATAGATCAGGAGCCTGATATGAGGTATATGTGAACCAGATGTAAACAACACCACTGAGTGGCAGAAACATGATCTGTTTAACGATAGAGCACTTTAATACCTAGACCAAGCTATCTTTTCTTCACACGCTGTCCCACCGGGCTCACATGTTTCCGTCCTCTACAAAGCTTTAGTGAATAAATGGAGTATGGTACTGTTGCACAGAACAATTACAGGATGTTTGGTGAATCATAGCATGACGAAAATGCGTTTTCTCATGCTTAATTTTGCAGGAATCACTTCTAAAAGATGAATGTGAATTGTTGCTGTGAAATGCATGTGTTTACCACATGTTTCCACCCAGTATCAGGAGTGCACTGCAACCTACTAGCAGGCCGGCAGTACAGAGCTGGCAGACAGACACTCTAATGGCAACGGATCGAGAATGTCACTCACGTTCACTGATGCAGATTACATAAAAGACTTACATAATCTTAACCACTTTACCACATGTGAGCCAAACATATTCTAGTTGCCTGGAAGTGTTGAGGGTAGCTGCTGTCCTAGTAACCTCTGAACATGGGGAAACACAGTCAATCCACGTGCCCGGTTTCTTTGTTGCATGGGGCCAATGTGGGGCTTTATCAGCGGATGTGGCTGCAATGTATTGACATTAACCCCCCCCAAAAAAAAAGAAGAGGGTGTGGGATGGTGGAATGACAAGAATTCAAAGTCAGTGGTATTAAGAGATTTAGTAGTGTCTAATGACTGTACTTAGTGTGTTTCATCAGAGAAGGTAGTACATGAGGGAAGTGAATGGAGATAAACATGACAGCAATAAAAACTTCATCAACCTTTGTTACATAATCCACCCTCACATGGCACCTCCCCTCACTATGTGCAGATATTTTGTGTGCGTGTGTGTGTGTTGTTGTTTTTTCTACCGGAGCATATAACCATCTGCATGCCACCTTGTCTTAATCGGTCCTCATTAAAAAAATCCTTTTTTACTTTCTCACACACAAATACCCACATGTTTAATTTTAGGCACATGAAGCGGCTCATATAGCACCTCTTGTGGTGGTAAGCTCACAGTATTTTTGTTTCTTTATTTGTCCTGTCTGACCATCAGCTACAGGAAGGAATGCACCAGCTTATGGAAAATGATTTGAAAAATTCTATTAAGGCAAATATGAAACTTACACAGTCGCCACTATTAGAAACAATGTCTAATCTGGCCTGTTTTTGTTTGTGTATGTACTTGTTTATTGTTTTGCAAGATACTAATGTTTTTGCCCCACAGCGGGTTTATTGCACTGATGTCTCCAGTGCCTCTTTGTGTCTAGCACAGTTGCAGCTCTTTGGAACACGAGTCGAAAGAAAACAAATCACAATGTGGCATTTACAACACAAGAATAGTCTGGTGTGCTGTTTACTGCAACATAAAAGGGAAAAGCAAGAGACATCGTATACTTTGTCTGGAGGTTATTCATCATACATGTCATCTATCTATCTATCTATCTATCTATCTATCTATCTATCTATCTATCTATCTATCTATCTATCTATCTATCTATCTATCTATCTATCTATCTATCTATGTGTACTGCACTGTTTCCCTCTTTCCATTTAGGTTTGAGACATGATGTAGTTCACATTAAAACAAACAGCATGGAGGGCAGTCTGGCCTGAGCTGAGTACAAGCAGAACACCACACCGCTAACCTGTAATCATCTCTCTAATGACCTGTTTGGTTTCCTAACGGTTATTTTGTCTGGTCAAATTATCCGGTGAACTCTAAAAGGAACTAAGACGTACATTTAACTTTCAGCTGCTTTGGTCTCTTTAAGTGGAAGGGTTTGTTTGAAACATTCTACGCAGATTTTTGGACATCTTTCACCGTCTAAATTTAGTAGTGAATATTTTCAAAAGCAGCTGAGATTGTACTTTGTAAGCATAAATAAGTCTTAAGCCTCATACTTAAATAGCAACCAAAGACGTGCTTCTGCTTGTTTCGAGAGAGAAAGCATCAATTTAATCACATGGCGCATATCAAATATTGGAATGAATCAACTGAGTAAGCATAAAAGCCTCATGCCAAAGCTTTTTGTGCCACCCACTTTGCAACCCGCACAAGGCATTTTGAGTATCATGTTTTATAATTCTAATACTGTGACCTGACAAGATAATCAAAATCAAATAACTGTGTTCTTGACAGTTGATTTAATGTTGTCATCTGGCATTAGAGGAGCATTACACTGGAAGCTACACTACAAAGAAGCCCAAAGACAAGCTATGTTTTATAGTTTTTTTCCATGAAGATAAAAAAAAAAGAAAAAAGACAGACATAGCTTGGCGTCAGAGTTTGCACAGAGTATCCAGGAAGAGGCAGGCAGAGACAGACGCACATGTTCATTCCTCTGACAGCAACAAAGAGCCAATTGTAGGCTCCACCTGCCTGCGTAAATCTTTAGTCTGCAGCTGACTGGGAGGGTCTGCAGCCAAATCACTCTTTATCACCCCCACAGCTTCTCTGCGTCCACTCCCACTTTGTCACGTGCACTTGCTTTCTTCTCTTCCCTCTGAGACAATTTGGGAGGGTTTATCAGTATGCAATGAGTGTGCCTTAAGGGCGTTGAGATACAGGACCCAGACAAAGTAGGTGGTTCTAGTTTTGACTGGATCTCGCAGCTCTCATGTCTTGCGTCTCGAATTTCACAATACAGGAAATCCTCACAGGGTCATACGCTGAGCCAGTGAGCCAGCCCCTCTTCCCTCCTCTTGTCCTGGCCAGCTGCGGTGGCCAGGCTCCCTCAGATCAACGGTTATTACTGGCTGCCTTGGAGAAATTATCCAGAGACCTCATTACGCCTCTCCAGGCTGATTCCTGCATGCAGCCAGACACGCACACAAGGCCAAAAGCCAATAAAGCTACGTTTCAGTGACCTATCAAATCCAACTGTCACATCATTCAATAAATATAATTTGATATCTGACCACAGTTATGTTAGTTAATAGAATCAGTCTTATGTGCCACAGATGTGTCATTTTTCTGTCTCTATAGCCAGCTCTGGATACATCTGTTTCTAATGATTTTCCCTGCTGCCTACAGTTAAACATGGAAGTTTCAGTAAGCCATGTGCCTCTAAATGAAAACAGTTTTAACCCCGTGGTGGGTGTAAATGACCCTGAAAAACTCGGAAAATGATGTGATCACCCACAAGACACATCTGAACAGAAGTAACATTTTTGTTGAACAGTTGTGTTCATGTTTAACACAACAATGTGAAAGCTCATGCTCCCATAAAATGTTTTAACATCATCTTGTGAAAAGAAGTTACCAGTATTGATAAAAATACAGGAACACTTCATAATACTGTGCATCCAAAATTGTCAGAATTTGAGGTGTACTGTTGTCAACCTAGGGGTCGGGGCTCCCACAAGATGAAGCTGAGGGGTCAAGAGAACAATTAAGAGAGTAAAGCAGAAAGACATATTTCTGTTACTCAAAGTTTTTGACTTAAAAAAAAAAAAAGAAAAAGTTGACTTTTTTGTAATTATTCTTTTTTTAAACACAGAAGGTAAATCACCCAAGTTGAACTTGTCACAACTGAAAACTATTTTCTTAAAGGCCAAAAAGCCACTGCTTTAGATTATATTACAGTATACTATAAAGTACTAGTGTTGTTTTGTCCACCTTCTGTTGGTCACTGTAATAATAATTTTTTGACATTCCAAAACAACACGGCAAACCACACACAAACACTCACATGTGGCAGACATGAGTCAGGAAAGTGCTGACCAGGCTTTCATGTTTACTGCAGATGTCCTTCTGGAACGAGCTCTTCAACCAGTCCTCAATGTTGCACACTTGTAGGACCCTGCTAGAGTACCAGCAAATAGTCAAGTACCGCAATGAGGGTCCCAGCACAAAGTTGTCTCTCCTCAGCTGACACGGGGAGCTGAAGTGGAGTAGATTCCAGAGGCGGGGGTCCAGGAAGACCTCGCGCAGCTGATGACAGGTAAGGGACAAACTCCTCCGACTGTCCTTGTCCAAGAAGGAGAAAAGGTGAAGGAGACATTCGTGGTTGAGCTGGGTGAGATGCATGGTGAGCTGTCCCGAGACAGAGAGAGAGAGGCCTCGTCCCCGGGGCGGTGATAGGCCTGCTGGTAAGCAGCAACAATGAGCCTGCAGCCCGTATTGTGTGGCCTAGATACATGATGCCTCCTCAGGCACACGCTGGAGGCCTGCACATATAAGGCCGGGGAGTAGAGGGCTATTTTGGGAAGACAACTGCCGGTACAGTCAAAGATGGAAGTGTTTGAGCCCTACGCTCCCTTTCCATCTGCCATGGCTCTCAACAGGCAGCAAGCAGTGGACTGAACCAGATGTTTACACTGCCATGGCCTAGTTCTCAGATACACACCGAGTGACACAAAAAAGAGAGACACCTGAATTTACTGCAATACAGCAGTACGTGTAGGGGATCTTTAACTGGCTGTGTGTGCAATTCAAATTCTGTGATACATTTTAAAGAGAGGTGGTACAACAAATGGAAGATACTAATATTTTGTTGTTTTTATAAATAAAATATAATGCAATCAATGGCAGCATCAAAAACACAAATTACAATGAGTTGACTTAACCTCTTGGCACAGTATCAACAACATTAACATACATATTACAAAGGTAGTAGTTATGAGATCCTGTACAGGATTTAATGAAGGTCTAAGAATATAATTTTGGAATTTTCTTGTATCATATTCAAGATAATCACAGAGCCTAATCATTTAATTACTTAATAATTGAAAGTCACAAGCACAAAGTTATGTTGGACTTTACCTGAAGGAACACAGTGAACTATGACTCACTGTGTGTATCAAATTGCTCAATTGGAGCGCAGAGGACATACTGGCATAAAGGCAAAATCATATTATATCTATGTCATCACCCGACACTACATTACCAGTTATGTCCTGTTCCACTTGTTATCACCAATCTCTCAAAAATGCAGGACATTGGGAAATGCCACTGTTGGGAGGCTGGTTACAGTCTGTACTCTGACTCACTGTGTCATGTTGTTCTTAGATACAATGCAATGTGAGCTTATTATTAGCAGCTGTGATCTAGCCTTCAAGAGAAAAAGAATAAGAAAAGGGGGAAAAGTGCCACTTGTGTCCTTAATGGATAGAGAGTAGTGAGCCCACAGCCACCTGTGAGCAGGCGAGGAAGAGCAGCTGTTCCTCATCATACAGGAGTGCTTGTTCCTGCCTGAGCGAGAAGGCTGACTGGCTGGCACGTGTCCCGAGGGGAGCTCTTATGTGTGAGTCAGTAGAGTGTGCGTTTGTGTGTGTGTGGGCAGAGATGTTCGCTAGAGGGAAGAGAAAAACAACAAATTAAAAAAAAAAAAAAAAAGAGGCTAGCTTTAAAATTTGCTCTCCTTGCTCTGAAGTCGTACTTGGCCATGGCTGTTTTATGTTACAAGCCATAATAAGGGTGTAAGGGTAATTAAATTGGGCATATAAACACAATTTGTCTTATGGTGTGCACGTGTCCCTTTTACAACCTGAAAAGACGAAACATGTGACAAAACAGTTCCTAACATGTACATCAAAGTCTGCACATATGGTGTAAATAGTGTATGTTTAAAATGTGCAATTAACGTCCCTTAAAGGAATAAAAAAAAAAAAAAACACTATCAGCAACAGTACAGGCTGAAAGAATTACAGGCAAACACTTACAGATCTATTTGCTTTGGCAGTATTAAAAGGTGAATCACAAATAAACTTGGATTTTGTCGATGTAGGGAGATCTTCCTGATAAGACAGTGTGGTGGCATGTTTCTAGACCTTTATTATTTAGTACTAGTAATTAAATAATGGGAGCTCCTGACATTTAAAAGATTACCAAAAGAAGACATTAACATTTAGTGGACAAAAAGACTTTAAATGCTTGAAAGAATAATGCTAGAAATAAAAGAAACAGTATCTTCCCATCTAGCTTTAACTGCTCCATATTGTCTGGCTGTGGTAATGGATTTGCTGGTTGTTACTAAAGGAAATAAGTTCAGAGAAAGGTTGCATGTATGGGTTTTTTTGTCCCCCCCACAAATAAAACAAACATCAAACATTTGAAAAAAAAGATTCTCCACTGTATTTTATCACTTTGCCCGATACAAAGAGATTTTTATCAGGGGCTATTTTCTAAGCCCATTTCAGATCAACATCAAACGTTAAATTATACTCCAGCGTCAAAACAGACAAACAAAACAATTTGAGAATGATCATTTCTTTCACATTGGTTCTGGTCAAGAAGTTAACACAACTTTCTAAAGCTCTAATGAGCACTTGTCAATCATTAAATGCATTGCATTCTATATGCTAAAATCTTCCCTAATAACTGGAAAACAAGACTACGAGGATTTCAAGTGATGGAAATTACAAAAATTAGAAACTTTAAAAATAATAGAAACTCCAAATATTGTTACAATGACAGTGTCATGACACAATCGATCTCAGGCTAGACTAAACATTGGACCAACATTGGTTTTCCAAGACTACAAGCTTTACTTCCTTATTTTAAACAATCACCTTTGGAATCTATTACATAGGGAGAAGTCTACCTCAACCGAGGAATACAACATCAAGGAAATAAATGCAAAAAAAGTCATACTAAACAAAACTCAAGCAGCAAATTATACAGGATTGCTGTCATGCAGGTCATAAAATACAACAAAATAATTGCACATACATTAAAACGTGAAAATTAGCTATTTAAAATCAAGCACTGTGAAAAATGTGACTGAAGCCAAAATGGAGTGAAGAGCTGGTCTGAGGCAGTCTGACAGAATCATTGTGCAACGGCTTGTATAGCTTGACTGGCTTCCTCTGTTGCAGCCTTGTCTGAGGTATCCCTATCTGTTGCAGCCTCCACTAAAGCTGTGTCAGCGTTACGTAGTTAGGCCATGTCTTCACCCTCATTTTCCAATGCAGCATTATCTGGGGCCGCCACGTCCAAGGCATTCGTGTGTGAGGCCGCCACATCCATCAAAACCGTGTCTGCGGCAGCCATGTCCTGAGCTACTACTTCTAAAGAAACGCTGTCCGTGGCCGCTGTGTCCACAGCAGGCTGGTTAGTGGCTGTGCTGTTTGTGGCAGTCTTGTCTGAGGCCACCTGTTCAGTCCTCTCCACGTAGAAGAGGATGTAGGCCTTGGCCTTCCTCACTGTGTCCTCATTGGTCAGAGTCACTGTGCTGTCATTGAAGTGGTACCAGCGGCCCTCGTGGCTGCCATATGCTGTATAATGCCCCGATCCAACCCTGTGAACAGACACATATATCACGTTCTGCTGTCTGGCTTCTTACAAGATTTCATTTACTGCTACTAAAGTGAGAGAGACAAGTTCAGATTGACAACACAGCAGCGGTGCAACATCGCCACTCAGAGGCCAAAAGGTGAAACAGCAGCACTTTTACATACAGTTCTTGGAATATCTAAAACACATTTTCAAGGACTTTCAACCTAATGCCCTACAGCATTTAGTGGCAACATGAATTTTTAAACTGCAGCTGTCCACAAGGCTTTTCAACTAAATTGGTCTTGAATTGTTTATACAGCGACTGAGTGACTGACAGCCGACTACCATGGTGACAAAAGCACATCATGATCATCTGTCAGCTTGAGGGAGGGAAAAAAACACATTGACCCCATTCAAGTCTGATATATGCAACATGCTGCTGCACTCTAGATGCTGTATGTGCTCATTAAAGCGGCAAACTGTATGTATCAGTTTCAGCTGCTCCATTTATGTGCTTAAACTGGGATACTACTCACCCAGATCCATGATGCACGACGACAGCGACAAGGTCATACAGGCAGTTTTCTGATAATGAATTCTCTGGCTGCAAAAAATAAAGAAATAAAGAAATAAAAGCAAGATAAGGATTTCCTTTTTAAACTCTTAAATACCCACATTTTTGTCTAAAAGATTTACAAATTAAAGGAGACAGACTACTCAGCACCTGGATAAGTCTGCAAGATCTCACAATCAGACAAGTAGAGGTAAAGATTCACCTGAAAACTATAGCACCCTTAAATTTCAAAAAACCTTAACTTTAAAGAACAACAACAAGAAAGTAGTCATTTGAAGAGATACTCCTGTTTACACTCTGGGTTTGTCAAATAACAGAAATGCTGCAGGTCATCCAAATAATAAATAATGTATGCATTGCAGATGGCACTGTAACTACACAGTTCGTTGCCCATTACAGTTTATCCTTAATTTAACATTTATATTTATTTTATAACCATCAATGTCTAAAGATAATTTTTATTATTGATTAACCTGTCAACTGTTTTCTTGATTCTTTGTTTGGTCTATAAAATGGTGAAATGTGCCTACCATAATTTACTGAAGCCCAAGTTGACATCTCAAAGACAACCAGTTTATTATCATAGAGAACTAAGAAAACTTCCAAATCCTCACACTTATAATATATAATAACAATAACAATTACTTAATAGTTGCTGATTAATTTTATGCTGTTTCAGCTTTATCAGTGTGTGCACAATGCAATTTTAAGACAATTATCCAGCTGTAGTGTTTCTCCGGTCAGCCAGCAGAGGCCAACAGTGATCTCTCTGGATGCCAACTAGCACACACAAGGTTTTTTCGATTGTGGATACAAATCCATCATCAACCGACTGTCAAATTTGACTTAACCACCAGTTTGGCAAAGAAGCGATTGTAATTTTTGCATATAAAAAGTCCTCCTATATGTACATTTCAAATTTTTTTATGCCGTCTGCGGCTGCAAGGTTCGTGGCCAACTTACAATATAGCCATTACAGTTCACTGCCATATTTCACAATGTTTACAAAGTCAGTTGTCTAGCATTTTGGTTAAGATCTTTTCATGGTGTGACTACTGTCTTGACTCCTTTCTTTCCCAAAACCATACCCCTTCATTAAAAAGGTTTAAATTTGGCACCAGTACACTAAGTCATTGTGGTATTGTGATGTTTTCTACAAATATAACTGACGTAATACCAATAACATTTCCACTAACAGTACACACAAAGAAAAGCCGGGATAGGCTTATTAATACAAGTATTTGTGAAGATGTTTATTTTTCATACTGTGCTAAGTATGTCCACAAACTGCACTAATTTTCTGGTACAGTTCGTTCTGTGGCAAATACGCACCATGACTATTTCCTGACTTAAATGCAGCACTTCCAATTTCATAAATGTATTTTTATTCCTTGTTTTGTCATCATTTTTTAGGACTTAATCTTATAGACAATATTTGTAAAACTCCCTAAATTTCCACATATTCATGCTATATCCCTGTATGACTTAATTTAAACAATCCAAAACCTTTATTGTGAAATTCTGTAATCAGCATTTGGTCTGTTTTGAGCTCACCTCAAGTAAGTAGCCCCTCATGTCCAGACCTTTCAGTGGAAACTCCACATAGGTATCCACCTTGTTTCTCAAAAAGGCCGTCCAGTGAAATCTTTTTAGGTGCAGACACAAAACCTACAATTGGAAATAAAACCTACAATTATACCAAAACACACCATTTCCCCATTACTTCACTTCCATAGAATAAACTGTCAAATTAGTAAATTGTGATAAAATAATATCCCTCTCCTACCTTTGGCAGCTTCTGGATCCAGAACTTCTTAGTGGATTTCTGTCGCTTTTTACACTTGTGGCAATAGTACAGCTCTGTTTCGTCAAGTTCTTCAAGGTCAGTGAAGCTACGTAAGCAATCTAAAAACAAAGCCAAATTAATATAAAATGCTTTCATTCATTTCAGAAGTACACAAATAGAAACTAATGCTGCCAAAAAAATAATGCGTCTGACAGTGGAAAACTTACCACGTAAGGTGCATGTTGGCCCTGGATCCTGGTCCTTACTCCTCTTTTGTCTGAACTGGCTGGGAATGTCCAAAGACAGATCTGAGTGAAAAAGATATGAATAAATACGTTAACATGCTTTAATCTTATAAATCAATTTCAATCAAAGTAAGTGTGCAAGGGAAATGGCTTTGCTAGATCTTCCACTTGCTTACCAAGAAATGGATCAAACTTCCGAGATTCTGTCCCACATATCAGGCAGTTGACTTCATTCTGAAGTATGCCACCGAAAATGGATGTGACAACACTGGCGGTCCCATTTCTGTAAAGAATCAAAAGGCAAACATTTTTAATTTTTAATCAATAAATGCACATTTAAATCTTCTGGTATTCAGTCAATGCATAAGAAAAAGAATACATGAACACATCGTATTCTGCAGTGAATGTTTACAATTTCTTTTCAAAATGAGCATTTTAGGAAAATTTACCCAAGTAACTTGTTTCTGGATGAGATCATTACAACTTATAAACGGCCACAAGTACAAAAATAAACACTTTTGTAAGCCGTGTCCGATAGCGTGTCTACCATGTAAAATGTGTCTATTTTGTTCTGGATCACAAAAAACACACCACAAACTGGCAAAAACAAAATAATTGGAAAGTTAAATGGACTTACATGCAGCACTTGCCCTCTGCGGATGAGAGTCTGACCCCATCCTGAGGTGAGACAGGGTGAGACGCCCCGTTGCGACTGTACTGGAGCTCCCTGTGGAGGTGGTCTAACAGGTAACGCATGAACTCATGGGCATCCTGCTGCTGATACCCCCTGGATAAACAAACACAGCTTTAAATGACATCATGGTAAATAACTCTCAATAGGAGTGTTCCAGTCAAAGATGCAGGTTGCTGTATTCTTCCAATATCTTGACTTTAATATGCTACACTCAAAGGCCCAGTGTGTAGGATCTAGTGGCATCTAGCGGTGTGGTTGCAGACTACAACACCCTCGCCCTCCCCTTCCCAAGTGTGTGGGAAGAACTATGGTGGCCCGCACAAAAAATATCTAGAGCCAGTGTTTGGTTTGTCTTTTCTGGGCTCCTGTAGAAGAATGGCAG